CCACCGGTTAGGGATCTGAATGTTCCGTACGAGGAGTATGAAACGCCTACGGCCGAGATGTTGTTTCCTCCGGTGAGCCCTCGCTGGTGAATTGAATGTCAATTGGGGGGTATTTACATGTACATACCAATCATATTTGTAGATTTGCCCACCAAATTAATCTAGATATTTGATAAATTACGCGCCAATGTACCATATTGAGTTAGCATAACCGCAAAGAATTAGGAATGTGAGAGGTATCTCAACTCAATGGGGTAGCCGGGTGAGGGTTTAATTAGCAAGTATATAGATTTGGGTTGTAAATTTGCAAATATGGTGGTTTTGGGGTATGTACGTAAAAATCCTGTCTCCATTTCACTTTAATAGGGATTTTTTTGGGTTGAGGAATTGCTTGTTTGTTATTTTTAGACTCCATTACAGACTCCAGCCAAGACTCCAATGCCACAAACTCCGATGCATGGGGCGGTGGATTACAACTTTACGACTGGGCCACCTGATTTTGCTTCGTTGAATGATATTGATATCAAAGCTGGAAGGCCTAGTCCTTACATGGTATCATATTTCTGCTCCTGAGTAATTTAGCTTAGATTACATGGTCAATGGTATAATTATATGTTTGATTTGTTACGTACACAAAGCTTTTATGTTATGTTATCTCGTTGATGTTCTTGTTGGTGGATTTTCTTGTTTGTGCAGCAACCCCCTTCTCCTTGGATGAACCAAAGTCCTCTGGGTGTTGATGTTAATGTGGGTAAGTCTTGAAGGATGGCTATTTTAATTGTGAGCTTGGTGTTTTTTGTTTTATTATAAGAAGTATTATATGTCAAAACATAATTTTATGTAAATGAGATGGCTGATGGAATTGCTTTTTTTTGGTGTCCATTGTACAGCTTATGATGAGGGTGGCGATGATTTGAATGGAGGAGCTTCTCATCAACCTTTGACTCAGGTGAATCTCTCTTTTTCAGCATTCAGTGTCATGTTTGCTTTCTAGCTATCTTGTCAAAGTTATTTCAT